TCCCACCTCGGTCACTGGTGTTACTTCTGGACCTTGGACAGATCATAGGAACAAAGAATCTTGACCTGAGATCCTTTCATTTGACCAATTCTAGAATCACCGATTTTGAGCTGGAGGAGATCTTAGGGACTGTCTGGTCCAACCCCATGTGTTCCCTTTTTTTTTTTCTTTTTGGTGAGGCAATCAGGGTTAAGTGACTTGCCCAGGGTCACACAGCAACCCCATATGTTCTAGATGGGAGATGGAAGCAAAGAGAGGCCATAAGAAAACAGATGCACAATGAACCTTCTAGACCAAGCTCTTCACTTAACAGTCATACAGCCAGTGAATGTATGAAACAGGATGCAGATCTCAGACAGGGCAAGTCACTTGCCTGATCACACAGGGAGTAAATAACAGTGAGAATTTCTGACCCAGGCCATTGGGTTCCAAAGGCAGGCTTCCTCCCATGAAGCCACATTTCCACTTCTTTATTTGCCCATTCCTTCATTTTCCTCATTTGGAAAATGAGTTTACTCCCCCAAAACTTTAAAGACCTGGATAAAAGGCCTAGGTTTTTATTATAGAATTTTGGAGTTGGGGACGACCTCAGAGGTCAACTAGTCTGACTCTTTGAGTTTGTCAGATGCAAGGAAACTGGGGCCTGGAGAAGAGAAATGAGTGGTCCAAGGTCACACAGTGAGCTAATACAAAAGCTGGTGCTAGAATCCAGGTTTAATCCTTATCTCACGGGGCTGGTAGGAGGCTTTAGGAGATAATGAGTGGAAAGCACTTTGCACTATAGAGATGCCAGTTATGCTGCAGCTGCTATTATAGTCTTATTATTATTATAGTATCATTCAATACAGGAGGTCGAAGGGACCTCAGAGATCACTTAGTTCAGTCTCCTCATTTTGTAGGGGAGGCTCAGGCAAATTAAGCAATGTGTCCAAGGTCACACAGCAAGCTGGTGGGGAGAAACAATATTGGAACCTTCTGGGCCTCTCACCCTGCCCCCCTTCCCCATCCCTATGATGAGCATTGGGATGGCAGATTGAAAGAGAGAGGCCCCTGAGGAATCATTGAATCCAGTCCCCCATTTTGTAGAGCAGGAAACTGAGGCATAGGAAGAGGAAATAGTGTATAGATATAGAATTGGAAGGTGCTTCCAAGGCCACTTAGTCAATGCTCCCATCTTACAGGTAAGGAAGCTCAATCATTTTGTTTCCCCTGGATATCTTGAAGGGATTGCTTTCCTCTGTCTATGGAAGCCTAGAAACTTCTTGGGGATGGGGGGTGGGGTGTCTCTCTTCTGCCTCCTGCCTTGTCTGTCTTTGTTTCATGGGTATCTGGGAAGCTGACTCCCCCACATTGGCTTGTCAGAAGGACTTTCTTGCCAGCTACCAGGGAGACAGTGGGATAAATAACAGAAAAGATGATTCAGGATTGAAAAAAATCTCTCAAATTCCTTCTGCCCATTTACTGAGATGAGGATGGTTGGATTCTGCTCCCTCTAGGCTCCCCTCCAGGCCAGCAAGTGCCCTCCTGGGTCCAGAGCCCATGGTCTGTATGAGCCTCACATTACCTTGTTATGACTCGGAGGCACCAGCTATGGGGTGAGGGGCAGCAAGGGAGGCAGCTGTGTTTATTCGGGGATCATTCGGCAGGCAGGGAACCAGGTGCTCTGATTAGCCAAGCCCTCCCAGCACACCTTCAAAAATAGGCCTGAGCCCTCCCAGGATGGGGTGGGGAGGGGCTGGCTGGGGCCTGAGCATGAAGAGGGGGAAGGGCCTTAGAATCCTGGAATGGGAGGCTGAAAGGGCCCTTAAAGGGCACTAGAAAGTGTGTGTGGGGGGTGGCCTTCTTGCCTATATGTTATAGAGGGGAGCCTGCGTAGAGACAGGTTGGACAAAACGTGCTGTGAGATCCTTTCACTTCTGAGATCATGCAGCCCTTTCCTTTGTCCAGTTAAGAAATGGAGGCTCAGAAAGGGACTGTGATTTGGCCAAGGTCTCCTAGGTAATTAGTGGCTAAGCTGAGTCTGGAACCCAGGTCCCTTAGACTCTCTATCTCCAGTGGTTTTTGAGAGACAGAGAGAGAAACAGAGACAGATGGAGACAGAGAGACAGGGAGAGAAAGAGACTGAGACAGAGAGAAAGAGAGAGACAGACAGGAATATAGGGAGAGAGACCGAGAGACAGAGACAGACAGAGAGACAGAGACAGAGGTAGAGACAGAGACAGAGAAATACAAAGAGGGGCAGAGAGAGACAGACTAAGAGAGGAATGGGTACTCTCAAGCCTTGGCTTTTGTCTCTTTTGTAGTTTAGGTTTCCAGGGGAAATGGGAGGCTTGCCTGAAAACAGATGAAAACCCATAAAACTCTCTAATTATTTGTGCTGCCTGCTCTGCCCTAGCCAGGAGGTGCCCTAGGCCCTTGTCCCCTTATTTTTGGACCAGCCTCCCTCTGGAATGAGAGGCCTAGTCCCTTCCCCTCCTTAAGCTCTGGCTTCTCCCACCATCAGAGGAGCAGGACAAGAATAGTGGCTGCTGGATAATATTAGTAATGAGCTTGAGACCCTTGGGTGAAAGGTACAGGCTGAAAGCAGGCAGTGATGCACGTGGCCTTTGGAGGGGGGCTCCACTGGGATCAGCTAACCTTGGACACAGTTGCTGGGAGGTCCTGTCTGGCCAGAAGAAGAGGCTTAATGCCTAATGCAGAAGAAATGTCCAGGACTCTGACATTTGTGTGTGTGTGTGTGTGTGTGTGTGTGTGTGTGTGTGTGTGTGTGTGTGTGTGAACAACAGCTGTGCTACTGTGTCAGTGCGACTATAATGGTAGTTGTGCATCTTTGTATCTTGGTGCCTAATTATAACTGTATATGGGTGTCTAATAATAGACTCACAGAAGCTCCGAGATACAGGGTCCTCCAATGCCCTGTAGTCCAAGGGATATCTGAACAAGGACCCATTCTACGTCATCTATCTAAGCCATCCATTCATTCCCTGTACAAGCTGTTATTAAACACTACTGCATGGCTAGGGAACCTAGACCGGAGTCAGGAAGGCCTGGGCTCAAGTTCCTCTTTGTACACAAATTGTTTGACCTAGGGAAACCTCCTTAACCTCTCAAGCATCTAGGCTGCAGAGCAGGCATGACTCTTCATTGGTAGAAGGACTTTCTCTACTTGGGGTTCTGTACATCGATAAAATCACATATCCAGGGGGAAAACCGTGCCGGTCACTGTTAGACACTAGGAGCATGGGACCAAATCCAAAACATTCCTTGAACTCAAACCGTCTTGGGAGGGAGGCAACATGTATCCAGATATAATAAAGAATGCTAATTGCTGATGGATTGGTCATCCAGACAATACTTGAGGACCTCTATTGGGATAGAACGTCCAGCCTCCTGAGCCAGCCTATCCTGTTGCTGGACAGTTCAGAAGTTTGTCCTTACACAGAATCTGCAGCCGGGCAGCTTCCACTCAGTCCTGACCACGCAGAGCCAGTGGAAACCTTGTTCCAGGGTGCCTTTGAAGTCTTTGAGGACAGCTGTCCTGTTTTCTCTAGACTTTCTTCTCCAGGCTAGATTAAGTCCCGGAAGAGACCTTACAAGTCATCCAATTAAACTATCATTTTACAGGAAGAGGAAACTGAGGCAACCCCAGAAGGAGAGGGGCTTTAGCTAAGGTAGCACCAATAATAAGAAGTCAACCCGGGATTTGAAATCCAAATCTAGGGCTTCCCCTAGGATGCTACTTAAGGAGTATAGCAATAGTGTATCTAATTAGATATGGATAAATAATAATGATGCATATGTTCTGATACTAATAATCATGCCTCTGTGTGTGTGTGTGTGTGTGTGTGTGTGTGTGTGTGTGTGTGTCTGAGTCTGAGACCAAAGCTTGGGAGCTTGGAAAACAGAAGCCTTGGCGAGTGGGAGTGACAAGAGATGGTGGTGGTGGGGTGGGATGGGGGACCAGATCTGGAATAACAAAGACTTAGATCTGGCTTCTGCTCTATCTCTTCCCTGCTAAATGACCTGAGGCCTATCACTACAGCTCAGAACCTCAATTTCCTTATCTGTGAAATGGGCATAATGATACTTGTCCTACCTAAGATGATAATGGTTGTTCACCTTCTGTAGCCCTTCACAATTTACAAACTGCTTTCCTTGGACAACCCCATCAAGACTGTAGATTGTATCAATAATCTATCAATCAGCAAGCAATTATTAAGCACCTGCTATGTCCCAGGAACTGTGCTGAGCTCTTATGATCCAAAAAACAAAGAATTCTATTATAGCATAAGAATTATTGTCCTCATCTAATTCAACCCAGCAAGGACTTTCTAAAACTCCTATGTGCCAGTATGATACTAAATACTCTGGGGCAGAAAGGCAAGATGATAGACTTGCCCCCAAGGAGTTTACATTTTAATGGGTTTATGGTCCCCACTTGAGAGGTGAAGGACCTAAGTCTAGAAGAAGGGAAATGACTTGCTCAAGGTCACACAGCCAGTAAGTAACAGTGCAAGAGATAAACAAATTCTTGACTCCATTAGAGTGAAGTATCAAATGAGATCATTCAACTGAAGTACTTTGTATCTGTCTAATGCTATGTAAATGTAACTTATTTTTTGTGGTCTGGGTGTGTTAGTGTTTCTCCATCTACGTATGTGTCAACATGTATATAATATTTACTTCCGTGTGTGTGTGTGTGTGTGTGTGTGTGTGTGTGTGTGTGTGTGTGTGTGTGTAGGCTCTGAGCCATAACTAGGACAGGCAATTGGGTCTTTGTCTGAGGGTTTTGCTATCTGTGAGAGCTTCCTTCTCAAAGTGATTTAGAGATCGCTGTCCCCTCACCTTTCACCACATGGCTCTAGATTCTGATATTTCTAGGGTCCTGTCACTGGGGCACCCAGCCCATTTCTAGGCTGGCACCACCTTCAGCCAGACTCTCCCTGTGCCCCTGCCACCACCAACCATCCCATCACCCCATGTAAAAATATTTTACTTACAGCTCCATGTAGGCTTGAAAGTGGACTGAGCCTCAATCTCAAAGCTTCCTTATCCCTGTTTCCCCTCTCTGTTCTTCTCCTGCTATCCTAAGAATGTAGTCAAGCTAGTCTGGGGGTAGGGGTTGCTCAGGAGGCCTATTAGCTCCTCTCCACAGAGCTGTAGACAGCTCCCAACATGCCAAGGGAGATTAGAACCAGACAAGTGGCATTCCTAGCCAAGGTGACTCTGCTGCAGGCCTGGTCAGATGGACAGGCGTCTGCCAGGGTGGGCCCCAGACCCAGCACAGCTTCAGGCTCACGATTGCTGTTTAATAAATACTTATTGGTTGCCTGATTAACAAATTAAATAGACAATAAAACTTCTCCAGGCTAGCTTTAGGAGGGACTCATTTACAGGCCCACCTTAGCATGTGGGTGAACTGTCAGAAGTGACATAGAACATGTCCTTACATTGCAGTCAACAAACACCACCCAACACCTACTTTCTTGGTCATTTCACTAAAGTAGCACAAAGATAACAATGGGAACTCATGGCATGCCAACCTCAGGGCTGGGAAGTGCTTTACATGCCTTGGATTGCCGTCATCATCATCATCATCACCATCATCACCATCATCACCACCATCACCATTATCATCACCATCATCGCCATCATCACCATCATCATCACCATCATCACCTAACATTTATATAGTACTTCCTATGTGCCAGGGAAAGGAACCTTTACAGAAATAAATTTTATACATGTATACACACACATACACACAGATACACACATTACATACAATCAGCAAACATTTAAGTGCCTAGTTAATTTAATAGAAAATTACACACAATGTATAAAATTATGTATAAATATATACATACATATAGACACATATATATACATATACACATTAAATATAATCAATACACATGTATTATAAGTACCTAGTTAATTTAATAGAAAATTAAATACAGTATATAAAATTATGTATACATACACAATATATATATATAATATATATATATATATAAAATCTATTGCCAGCTCATTTTACAGATGAGGAAACTGAGGCAAATAGGGTAAAGGGACTTGCCCAGGGTCACGTCGCTAGTGAGTGTCTAAGGCTGGCTTTGAGGTCTCAGTTCCTCATCTATGGAAAGAGAGATTGCCCCTTAGAGGAGGAAATTGATCATAAGGGTAGCAGGGGTGGGGGTGGTTTGGGACTTACCAAGTTCACAAGGCTCACAGCTAGCACAGTTGGGCGCTGACCCCATATTCCATGATGCCCAAGGTGCTTGAAATCCCATGATCCTTGGCCTCCCGTGGCCTCCCCCAGCCTTCCTCAAGCTCCGTGACCCTCCCTGTTCCTCCCTGAGCCAAGCCTCTCCTTTGGTTCCCAGACTCTTTAAGGGCCACCCTGAGACCCTGGAGAAGTTTGACAAATTTAAGCACCTGAAGTCTGAGGATGAGATGAAGGCATCTGAAGACCTGAAGAAACATGGCACAACAGTGCTCACCGCCCTGGGAAACATCCTGAAGAAGAAGGGCCAGCATGAAGCGGAGCTGAAGCCTCTGGCCCAGTCTCATGCTACCAAGCACAAAATCTCCGTCCAGTACCTGGAGGTCAGAAGCTGGGCTGACTTGTAGGAATGGAGAAAAGAGCATTGGGAGGGGGGAAGGAGGGAAGGAGCAGCCAACCCCACACAACACAAAGGCTTCTCACGTTGGGCCAACTGACTTCAAGTTGTCAAGGGCCTTATCTAGGGCAACCCCCTCATTTATAGACAAGGAAACTGAGGCGCACAGACTCCAATATCAAAGAAGGAGAAAGTGGTAGAGCTTCTCTGACCTCAAGTTTGACACTCTTTCCAATGTACTCTTTCTTCTTAAAGCTCATTTAGACCAATCCCCTTATGTTACAGATGGGGAAACTGAAATTACTTACCTAAGGTCACCTATGTAGCCAGAATTCTGCAGGATCATAGACTTAAAATTAGAAGGGGCTTTAGAAGCCATTGAGTTTTACCTCCCTCATTTTACAGATGAGGAAACTGAGGCACAAGTTGGTTAAGCCACTTGCCCAGCTTGAACTCAGGTCCTCTGATGTCAGGTCTGGTGCAAACCCCTATATTCCCTGTTGCCTCATCTTGTTTTGAACACTCTCAGATCTCTCCTGGGCCTGATTTCAGGTCCAGTTGAACAGAGCTAGAGTTCTTAACCCAATAGACTTAATGTTTTCCCAGATGAGAAGCAGCGAGGCTCTTACTGTCCCCAGCACAAGCAATCAATACTAGTCTCATGAAGTCACCTGAGAGGCTAGTTAGCATGGCAAGACAGGGATTTTAGTGCTAGAAACCTGTTGGACAGGTGGGGGCCCCTTGGGCTAGAGATGAAATGGACTGTGGGGCAGGAGCCATTTCCCGAGGGACTTCACGGGAAGGCTGGCGCGTGCAGCTACTTCTCCTTCCCACCTGTTGGCAGAGGGCTTGTTTTTCATTTTAAATTTTTAATGAAGGAACCAACTTGTTTGACAACCCTAGTGAATTCTGCCCATCTGTTCATTCTATACAATGGTTCTCCCCAGGAGCCCCAAGTCCCCATCTGAAAGCCATCTACCATAACAGCATGAGCAGTGGGCTAGGAACCCCGCCTCAGACACTTAATCACTGTGTGATCGCAGACAAGTCACTTGTCTGTGAACCTCAATTTCCTCATCTGTCAAAGGGGAGGGGGTGATGATACTTGTCTCACAGGGTTGTTGTGAAGGGAAGTGCTTTGCAAACCTTAAAATGCCCTAGAAGGGCGGCTGGTTACTGATTTTAGACTATCAATGCCCTTCCCTGGGCTCCTGTTTCCTCACCTATAAAATAAGGATGATAAAACCTTCCCTAAGAGAGGCCACAGAATCACCAAGCTCTGGGTTCAAGTCTCATCTTTGCCTCATACTGGCCATGTGACCTGGGCAAGTCCCTTAATCTTTCAGTGCCTACCAAGCTACTTTTTAAGATTAAATTTCCGAGAAAGTGCTGATCTGTATTGATGTATTGACTTTCCTCGATAACAACACCATCCAAAATAAAAATAGGAATATTATACACATACATATATGTATACACACATGGCTGTATACATGTATATCATATACATGTATATTGCATACACATGTATTATGTGTGTATATGTGGGTATATTGCATACATATGTGTATATGTGTATACATACCTATATATGCACATGAATATCTAGATCCATATCCATCCCCATGCACCCATCCTTCCAATCCTGGGAGGGTCTGATAAGCTGAGGCTTTGTAAGTGTTGAAGAACTCTGAGTTTCTTCATCTATAAAGGGAGGGGGCTGGGCTAGATGCCCTCTAAGGTCCCTTCTAGTTCTAAATCTATGATCCTCCGATCTATCACTCATCCATGCCTCAGTTTCTCCATCTGTAAAATGGGGGAAATAATATCTGCCCTACTGTCTCTGAGATATTATTTATTCTTAGGCTTTTGACAGATGTGATTCATTTTCTGGCCTTATGAGCATGAAAAGAAGACTCAGTGCTCATCCAGACACACTGCCTTAAATTAGGGCCACTGGATCGGCCAGCTGTTTGGGTTTGTTACATATTTAGAAGCACAGAATTTTTGAGCCAAGAAGGGATGCCAGAGGTCATGTGGCCCAACCTTCTCATTTTACAGATAAGGAAGATGAGACAAAGGGCAGAGGGGATTTGCCTAAGGTCACGTAGGTAGTAGTAGCAGAGCTGGCCACTGTGCCCAGGTGTCCTGAATCCTGGTCTAGTAGTCTTTCTACTATTTCAGGAAGTAATAACAGCCAGCATTTATACTGAGATTTAATGGTTACAAAGTGTGTTATGTATATTATCTCCTTTAATCCTCACAACTCAGGAAGGTAGGTTCTATAATAATCCTCATTTTCTAGATGAGAAAACTGAGGCTGAGAGAGGGTTAAGTGACTCGCCCAGGGGGACCCAGCTGGTAAGTGGAGGAGACAGGATTTGAACTCAGGTCTTCCTGACTCCAAGTCCAGCACTTTCTACTGTGCCACCTGTCTGGGAGATAGTAGGGCAGATATTATTTCCTCCATTTTACAGATGGAGAAACTGAGGCACAGATGAGTGATGGATCAGAGGATCATCGGTTTAGGACTAGAAGGTCCCTTAGAGGGCATCTAGCCCAGCCCCCTCACTTTATAGATGAAGAAACTCAGAACCAAGGAAAGTGAGGGACTCAAGCAGAGTCAGTGGCAGACCTAGGTTTTGAATCCAGGTCTTCCGTCTCTCAGCCCAGTGCTTTCTCTACATCATGCTAAGATGCCGTGACTTGGCAGGGTCATAGAACTAGCAAGTTGCAGGGGTGGGATGTGAACTCCTTCTTCCAAGGTCCAGACTGATCTCTTTGCACTACAGAATAGCAATATTAGTCTGTCAACTAGAATTTCTGGAGTGCCGTTATGTACCAAGCACCAAGTGCTAAGCACTGAGAGTACAAAGAAAAACCACCAAACCCCCAGAGCCCTCAGGGTGCTCACAACGTCTAATAGGAGCTAGTGTTTATATGGTGCTATTAGGTTGGCAAAGCACTTTTACATATGTAATTCTTCCCACCAAACCTGGAAAGTAGGGGCTATTATTATCATCCCCATTGTACGGATGAGAAAACTGAGGCTTAGGGAGGTCGACTGACTTGCTTAGGGTCACACCGCTAGTAACAACAACAACAACAACTACGTTTACGTAACAGCACCTGCTATGTGCCGGGCTTCTTAACCCCAGCCCCACTCCCTACCCATTGTGCCACCTAGCACCCCAAGTGCTGGGACTTGTCTGGTCCTATATTTAAGTCCAGTTATACTATACTGTCTGTAACTTTCCCAAGCATCCAACCTCCTCCCATTTCCTCTGGTCAAAATTGGTTCCATATGTTCTGAGTGAAATCTGAGAATCCTGCCCATGAAGCCCTTTCCCCATTCCTGTTCTGTTCTCCAACCCTCAGCTCTCCCTCCAGATTTTGAATAACAGCAACTGGTCCTGCTCCCCCTCCCTCCCCTTTGAATTCCATTGGTCTCACCACAGCCCTCTCTTCTCCCACCCCCT